TAATTATTAATATTTGGTTTAGAATATAGTATATATCATTATCTTAATTAATATTATTCTAGTATTCATTTATTTCATAAATTTATTGTTTATTTATAAAATAATTTATATTATATTATATTATATAAATTATTTAATTAAAATTTAAATTATTTTTATATTAGTGGGGGCCCATTGTTTTCCAGCAGCGTGCGAAATAAAGCCCATAACAAGAGAGTAACAGAATCAGATTATGGAGTAAAAAATCATTCCAATTTAAATAATTATAAATAGATATATATTATTCACAGAAATAGGAATAGACAAACCGAACAAATACTTAACAAAACGCGATTTCGGAATATTTCGAGAAAATACTTAATTACGATTTTGAGCCTTTGCCTTAGACCCTACCCAAATAAAATATTTCGAAAAATTATATATTACACTAAATTAAAGACCCAATTCTAGAGACCCAAATATCTAAAAACGAATTATAAATAAAACTTCTCAGTAATACATCAATATATTTCCTAAAACACTACAATACACAAAATAACAATATCTTTCAAATGCCCAATACCAACATATAGATATTTAGTCAATAAAAGGCGGTCGTCTAAATAAAGGAAGAATAAATCCATAGATTAGTATACCTCAAAAAATCCATTACACCACAATATTTCAACCAAAATAATAATAATAGATGTAAATAAATTATTTTTCCAACCTCCCAAAAAGAATTTTCATCCAAATATTCGTTCCATAAGAAGCCATGCCAATGCGATTTCAATCAATTTAAACAAATTATATATTCGATTCTTTTAAACTTAGCCGAAATCGACCAACTTCACCATCTCGGCATTAATCTAAATATCTTATTATTTAATGCCCATTTATAACACCCTTTTTCAAGGCTAAATAAAAAAAAAAAATCTAGGAAAAAAAAAGAAACATAATTTCAATTCTAAAACAAATCATTCCACTCCTCTAAGAAAAAATATTCCTCCACAAATCTTTCAGCCAAAACAAACAAAGACACAAAAACACAAAACACAAAACACAAAGACACAGAGACACAGAGACACAGAGACACAGAGACACAGAGACACAGAGACACAGAGACACAGAGACACAGAGACACAGAGACACAGAGACACAGAGACACAGAGACACAGAGACACAGAGACAAACACAGACAAACACAGACAAACACAGACAAACACAGACAGACACAGAGACAAACACGGAGACAAACACAGACAGACACAAACACAGACAGACACAAACACAGACAGACACAAACACAGACAGACACAAACACAGACAAACACAGACAGACAGACACAGACAAACAAACAGACAAACAAAGAAACAGATACCAGAAACAAAGAGACCAACAAACAAAGAGAGACAGAGCAAGACACCAACAAAGAGACAGAGACAAAAAGAGACACACCTTCGGCGCGCAGCACACACAAACAAACAAACAAACAGACAAACAGACAAACAAACAGACAAACAGACAGAGACAAAGACACAGACAAAGACAAAGACAAAAACAAACACAGAGACAAAAACAGACACAGACACAAACACAGACACAGACACACAGACACAGACACGCAGACACGCAGACACAGACACAGACACGCAGACACACAGACACACAGACACACAGACACACAGACACACAGACACACAGACACACAGACACACAGACACACAAACACACAGACACACAAACACACAGACACACAGACACACAGACACACACAGACAGACAGACAGACAGACAGACAGACAGACAGACAGACAGACAGACAGACAGACAGACAGACAGACAAACAGACAGACACAGAGACACAGAGACACAAAGACACAGAGACACAGAGACACAGAGACACAGACACAAACAGCCACAGACACAGACACAGACACAGACACAGACAGACACAGACAAAGACAGACACAGACAGACAGACACAGACAGACAGACAAGACAGACAGACAGACAGACAGACAAAGAAACAGATACCAGAGACAGACAGACCAACAGACAAAGAGAGACAGGGAAAGACACCGACACTCCGGCGCGCAGCGCGCCGGATTCTGATGTCGACATGCCACAGGCTTCGCCTGCGCACGTGCACGCGTCCGACTCCGAGCCCGAGAGCCGTGATGCAGACGGGCTGCAAGAACGCGCGTGTGAGCTCTTGGCTGCGCGTGCCCCAGTTGCACGCGGCGGCTGGCCGCTTGTCCCCTGGCGCCCTCGCCCTGTGGAGCGAGCCAGTGCAAAACGGTTTATCACGCGCTTGTCTCGGCGCTGCCCCGCTGTTTTCGCGGCCAGGAGGTGGTTGCAGGACTGCTTATCGCATCGCTAAAAACTCTCGGAAGATGGGCCAAGATTTCAGCCAAAATTGCTACGGACAGGCAGATATATGCCCCGACTCTTTATCTGGAAGACACAACGGCTTCGTTCAACGGCTACGGATGGGAAGATATATGCCTAGACTCTTGATCTAGAAGACACAATGACTTCGTTCAAAGTCCGGACCATTTTTCCGAAATATCCCGGATATTTCGATAGTCGCACTCCAGACCATTTTTCCGAAATATTCCGGATATTTCGACGATGGTATTTCCCGAAATATTTGGAATATTTCGGGAAAATGGTTCTTAAAATATTCAGAATATTTTAAGAAAATGGTGGGTGGCTGCGATTCCCGGACCGCTTTCCCGAAATATCTGGAATATTTCGGGAAATTGGTCCCTACAAAAAATGAAGCCACTATGTCTTCCGCACATATGCCGGGGTAGCCCGGACAGATTTGGGCGAGCGATCCGTAGGAATTATGAAGCGGTTACATCTTCCCGGGGCAGTCCGGACCAATTTTCCGAAATATCCGGGATTTTTCGGAAAAGCGGTCCGGGAAAACGCGCGCAAGTGCGACGAGCAAGTTTCACGGTTTCGTTTTATAGAGTAAATATATTTATTCTTTTAAATTTTTATATATATATATAATTAATTTAAAAATTAATGAATCAATTATAAATTCGAGAATTAAAAATAAAAAAGAAATAAAAACTATATTATAAATATAAATTTATATTTCAAAATATATTTTGTTTTTCTATATGTATATTATTTAAAATTATCGATTTCCAAACTAAATTATATATATAATATCAATATATATATAATTTATTAGATGATTATTATTTATTATAATTTCTTGCAAAAAATATAAATTGATATAATTTATTTATATTTAAATATATCAAAAATTATATTGTTTTATGAATTATATATATATATGAATAATGGTTTCTATTTGTTATATGGCATAATGGACGGGTGTTCCTGATTCGTTTTCCAACCCCGCGCTCGGTCGCAGCCCCCTATCTCGTTTTCCAATACCGCGCTCGCTTTATCTGGCTCAACTTTCTGTAGAGCTTGAAGAAGAGGAGCTTAAAGAAGTAAACGAGCTTTGGTTTGCCCGCCTCCTTTGTCTCCTTCGTTCTTGCCGCACAACCTTTCGCTAAGCAAACTGCTACTACACAATTTGTTGCAAAGTAATACTTGGGAGGAGGAACTAGGCCAATACTCACTTAGACGCTGTAGGGGGCTCGTTTTGAACTCGTTTTGGAACTCGTTTTAACATGGCCCGCTTTTGGACAGCTGAAAATTGCCCAGGGGCAAATCTTGAACAAACCAGCTACGCTACGTCTTCGCAAGTTTGCTTCACACCCTTTTGCAGTTAGGCATCGCAGGGTTGGCCAGTACTTGCCCAGGAAAGTCCGTGGTAAGTTGCCAAGGACCATGCGACGTAGGTCGTCTACTCTACACTGCATCTAACAACCTTGAACCCAAGACGCTCTGCCAGGCTGCACTTGCCAAAATGTCATCCTAATCCATGCTATTGTGCTTGTTTGCCCTATCTCGTTTTCGGGGTGTTCCCCAACTCGTTCTGCAGCTAAATATGCACATTTCCCAAACAATAGTTCCAGCCCCTTGCATGTTTCCATTAACGTAAATAAAGTTAGTCGCTCATGTATTGCATTTTTATTCAAAGCTCCAGATTACCCCACCCCCAATTTTATCAAATAACATAGGGTTAGTCCATCTTAACTTAAAACAAACATATTTATCCAATTTTAACAGAAATTAAATTAATAAATCATAATTCATATTAATCTATTGTTGGGGGTTCGTTTTGAACAGTCCAAATTAGACACATTGTATTTCATTTTGATTTTACATATTAGGGGGTCCAATTCATGTTTTTTTTACACACCCGTTTTTAACAAAATAAAGTCGAGCGGGTTCAACTCGGATTCGAATGATTATTTTTGGCTCACCATGGTTTCCTTGAAATCACCATGGTTTCCGTCCTCCCGCCCCCCCTAAAGTTAACATGGCCCAACTCCACACTGAATATAATTAGATGCCATGTCCAAAATGTAGTTGCCGCAGTCCAACATATTCCAGGCCTTGAATGGACTTGCAAAAAGCTTCCTGGGGAAGACGCGGGCTGCCTCGTGTTAATTTGAAATGAGCTCAGTCAACTTTGTCTATTTCATTTGCTTTCAGCCTATTATTTTTTAATATTTTCTTTGAAGGTGTTCGGTCGATCTTCTGGATTATCCAAATGAAAAGGTAGGAAGGACGTGAATCCATTTTGTTACAGAATATGTTCCAGAATGCCATGTGTCATTCATTGTATATTTCCTTGGGATCTCATCTCTATCCTCATCTTTCTAGCGGCTTTTACGGCTTTAGGAAACGTACCTCCACCGTGATTGCTGTACATCTTATACAGCTTATCAGTAACAGGGATCCTTACATGAAAAACACCTGAACATTGCCTTGTCAATGGTGGTTTCCCCTTATTCTGGTGGAAAAAGCCATGTTTCAAATGGGCAAAATGTATCTTTTAAGGAGCCCTGAGTAATTATGATAATGTTGGTTTTTCTGAACCACCACCACCACCCGGTGCGTTGCGCTTGCCACTCGTTTTGAACCATGTCTTGACCATACGCCACGCGCACGAAACAGACAATCCCTCGGGCGATTCGACAAAGTCGCGCCATCTTGTTGTTTTTTCAGCTTAAGTGAAGGCTCACTGTACAAGGTTGGCCACACACCACAGGTGGCTCTCGTGAGCCGAAGATTTGCACTGCACTGCTTTGAGCAGAAGCCGACGAATTCGGGGCGTGGAAGGAGCGATGTTCAAGTCGCGTCCTGCGTTCTGCCAGCGACACCACATGGGCAACTTCTAGAAGTCACCATCATGTACAAAAATAAAGCACCGTGTCAGCAAGAGTGGGTAGGCATGGCTTTTGCATGGGGGCCTGGGTGAAAACCGTTTTCACAGGACAGGTGTTGCGCCCAAGGAAACCCCCTAACACAAGAGCATCCCTACGTCTCAAAGTCCCTGCTCGCGCCTTCGCGCGTCTCTTCGCCCACCGCCGACAAGTAGTCTCAGCCGGCCTGGCTCGGGTGTGACTTGGCGTGACCCCCTTCTTTCTTCGGTTGCCTTTCTGCTCCCATGCTAAAAGTTTAATTAACTTTTAGTGGTTTAATGGAAACCCCATTAGTAGGCAAAAAGTGAAAGTCCTAGCATCCAAGCAAAATGCACCAAAGTTTCTGTCTCGGACCATTTGCATGCACTGGCTCGCTGCCGAGCATCCCGGAAGGCGCTTCGCTTGGCGCTGGCTCTGCTGCACCTAAGAGCAGCCAAAGGTGAGAGTAGTTTCTGGGGTTTGCGAGCATCTACTGCTTTTACTTCACATCAAAAAGCAAAATCAAGTAGCACCTCTAAGGCACGTAGCAGTTTGGAGCGGGGTTGCACTTTCGAAGTGGCATCCCAGATTTCTACCTCAAGCATCCCGCACAGCCCGCGTCGGGCGGCAAAAAGGAAATGAGCAGCGCTCCGTAGATGGCGAAATGTTGGTGCCGCATGTCGCCCAAATTGCAGGCCAGGCGAAAGAACACGGATGGTTCACAAATATCAAGGCGTGTTAGGACTCCCAAATATTTCACAGAAGGCCATTCCCAAATGGCAACCACACGGGCTGTCTAAAGGCAATACGCATCAAGCAAGCAGGCGGCGCCAAAGTTCCCAATCCAAAAGCCCGGTCCAAGTGGCAGCTGGCTGTCAGCTCTTGAGCCTCCAGGCCCGAGGAGGAAGCGGCTGAGGCTGAAGCCTTGGTTGCCCAGTCGCCATTCTCACAAAAGCCAACCCTATCAGGGGACGCCTCATGGGAAGCAGTCGGGAGAATGTTGGCCACATGGACCTGAGCTCAAAATCCAAATCTGAGCCAAAACTAACACCCCGAGTGAAGAGAGCCGGCATGGGGAAGAATGATGAGGGTGGCTGTGACTGCTTGAATCGGATGTTTTGACCCATTCCACCTGCTCCCACATCCGAGGCGCAAAGAAGTCCGGGTTTCCACCGGAGGTACCCCCCGTGCCAGCCCAGATCTGTGCTGCGGGCACGCCTCAGTCTCTCGTTGCATGCTCAAGGGTTTTTTTTGAATCAGCGCGGCGCATATCGCGTGGGATTCGTATCGGGAACCTGCTTGCCTTTGCAAAAAATAAAGCTTTTTCCACTAAACGCTGCGTGTTCAGGCTAGCATTGGCGTTGCCTTTTCCCCAACTTGTTTGCTGCTCAGCTCCCTTGTGGGCCCAGTAAGTCGTTGTCCACAAGTGGTATTCCAGCAAACGAGCTGTTCATGTTGCTTCCTGGGTGGTGGCCTGGGTTTTGCCCAGGTAGACCATGTGATGCCCTCTCATGCGTGCCTTTGTGAACCAGGCCGCGCAACCCAACCCGCCAGCTTGAGAGCCTGAGACATAGAGCGGGAAACAAGGCTCATGTGGTCTTTTGGATGGTTTCCAGGAGGAGGCCATTACTCACTTGGCCAGTGACCAGCCAAAAACAAAGTGCACACTTGTTGGGCCACCACTAAAGCAAATGGAGAGCCACCATTTAAAAAAGTGCAAAATGCGCGAGTGAGATTAACGTTGGCCCCATATTCATCAACCTCAGCTTGTCAATGGGCGGGGTGTCCCTGGGCCCCTGCCAGGGGCCGGCTCAAATGCCTCCCGGATGGCCCCTCGCCAGCCTGACGGCGAGTCCTTGTCCTTGCCATCCTGGTGCTGAAGCACGTGCTGAGCCAAGCATACGCTTTATCATTTGACTTGGGTGCTGTAGATCCCCCAGCCAAAATTATAACTTTGTGCTGGTTAAAAGGAAATATATAAAGAGGATCCAAAAACAAAAGTCTAAAGATCCAACCCAACAGCGGTAGAGTTGAACTCTGGGTCATCCGGTACTAAAATCCAAGATGTAGGGAAGAACTACACATTCAGGCCATAGGTGGCCTTTTGAAACAGATAGAATGGCCCTAGTAAATTGAACAAAACCCATCTAAACTAGTGCCGTCTATTTTTAACCAGGCTCACCTAAAAAGGACACTATCTATGATTCAGGCTGTACAGTCAGAGCCAGGCCTTGGTCTTGCCAGCTGCCAGGTTGGCTCTCTGTTGCTCTGCCTCTGCTTTGACCCACTTGTTCACCTCGGAAGGCCCAGCCAAACCAAGCCGGAGGAAGTGATGGCCCTTTATCTCCAGGCCCTATACCCAGCTAACCTCCTGAAATTAGCTTCGATTTGGCGTCAGTGAGAATCATCTTAATTAGATTTCTCCAAGATGGCACTCTGTATCCCACTAACTTGGGGGTAGCTTCGGCTTGGCGTTAGTGGAAAGCATCCTAGATTCAAAGGGCTCCCAGCATTTCCCGCAACCAAACCGCCAGCAGAACTTCCCCAAACCACCTCTTTGTACCCATTGTAGTGGCTATATAGTGGCCCTGTATCCCACTAGCCTCCTGAAATCAGCTTCGGTTTGGCGTCAGTCAGAACCATCTTCAGATTCAAACGGGAGGGAGCCATGGAGAACTCGCTGCGCCCAAGCTGCGTGCAGCAGCTTCGGGCCAAGCCCGGCCTTGGCATCCGAGTCCGCCGACCTGACACGTGGCAAACGGAAGGAGGGCACTCACCGATCCAAAAACAAGAAGCTTCGCTTGGACATGTGTCATGTCTTGTTTTGCTCTTGTTCAACTTCATGTCTCCTTGCCAGATCCTGAGCCTGTGCAGAAGCCAGCTGCACGGATGGAGTTTTTGGAGGCGGACCGACACCGGGTGCCATCACATCTACCTCAAGCCGTGGGCGTTGCGTGCGTATCAGGCACAGAGACCTACCACAAGTTTGGGTGAGCAAACGGCCTGGATTGCTCAGGGCTTGCGGGTTGCAAGCTGCAAATGCCGACGGATCGGCATCCAACATGCGGGTAACAGGTGAAGGTGGAACGCAGCTCTGGAAGCCAACTGTGTAACACTTGCGTCGCTGCAAATCAACCAACGAACCTTGCACTTGCGGAGGTGGACGATCGAAGTGGTCAACAAAAGCTTGCTGGTTCGATAGGCAGATAAGGAGACATGGAATGACTAGAAAACCAATCGTTTATTGCTTCCTTTACGGGAAATCCCCAACCGGTCCATTCCCAACACCCGGAGGACGCTTTTTTTTCACCCGCCTGCGCTGCAGATCGGCCAAACGACGTTGGATGCGGCACAGCTCCGCCTGGTTTCAGCCCCAAGAAACGCCCCAAGTCCAGGAGCTCAGGGAGTGAGCTGCTGCTTTTTCGGAACATGTCAGCCTGCAGGTTTTTCTCATGGAAAAAACAGAATCTGGAAGCTGAACACCTGGAAGAATGCTAATCTCTGCATCTGCAACTAGGACCTCGAACTTGTTTTGTTTGGCCCTCTCGGGGTTTGTTGCATTGTTTGTATTTGTGCTCTTCCGACCTGTGTGCAACAGCTTCCGATTTCAAGTTGTGCAGTTCACATCCAAGTCTTAGTAAGATAGAGATGCGTGCATCTCGTCAAGGCAATATTTGTGCTGAATCCTGCTGGACATTATATGTCTTAGAGTTCGAATAAAAACAATAATCCTGCCCAAACCCTTTCCCACTAGAACTTTACAATTGACAAGGACATATTCCAATCACATTTCTATGTTGGATTAGAATTTAGATTAGGACTATTCTTTTTGACATTAGATTGTACACTGGCTTTTCTTTCCAATATAACTTTAATATAAATCAGTTGACATTTAAATATTCAAACAGAGTTCAACTGGAATTTCCATTCAAAATGCGGAAACAAAACACGGTCACAGTGACGAGCTCTCTTTCTTTAAGGGCATCCTCTTTGTGTGGCTTTGCAAGGCAAAGTAAGGGTCCCCCTTTTAAACCGATCACACATCTGCCCACGCGAATTTGAATTCGACAAGATTGGAACGCCATCCGTGCAGAGAGGAAGGGGGGGGCCTCGCTCAAGCTCGGTGAAAGGCATCCTTCCGATTGATTCGCTGGGTCCTTCGCTGGGATCCCTCAGTCCAAATCCTAGACACGTTCCCCAGCAACACGCATTTCCAAGGTCTTCTTTCGAACAAACCAACCATACATTGGCAATGGACAATTTATAATTCCTTGGTTCTCCAAGTCGCGCACACGGCGCACCCCTAAGGAAACTCCGTTTTGGCAACCCCAAAAGGTGATCTTTTAAACCAAAAGCAACCCCCCGAAAATTTCCGCGGACAGCGGCCTGCGTGTTGGCCTTCCGAAGCTCTGCGCCGGCATCGATGACCTAGCAGAGGAATTCCTGGGGGCACGGCATGTCTCTTTGACCTGCCTAGATAGCCAAGTTGCTGCTTTTTTCAGTCACTGTGGCTTTTGGGGTAAAGTGCACGGAAAAAGCAGCAACTGGCGATCCAGGTGGCTCATTTTTGCGCTCTTAAATGAACGGGTGGGAACTCTGGACCGCGTTTGGGGGAAGATTTGGGGGCCACTCGGCACCCATCGGACCAAAACCACACCCACCGGAAGCGCACGGCCTGCGACCTTCTAAGGAATGTCCAAAACAGCGTGGAACTCCCTCGAGCCTCTGGCCATGTTTAGATTCGGGTTTAGGGTGCAGGGTTTAGGGATTGATTTGGCTCCGGTAAGCTGTTGACAATCAAGCACTTGCTTCGTTTAAACGAAGAAGCAGATAACACAAAGAATGACAGCAGTTGGTTGGCTCCAGCATGCGGTCGTTTAAAGACAGGAGAAATCCAACTTGCTGGGTGACCATTTTGGCGTCCTTGCAAAAACTTCATGTGTCCATACGATTAGTAAGTATTTCACAGACTGAGGTTGAAAAGAAACACTTGTACACCTTTCAAAAATGCTCCCATCTTGGCAAATCTGCAATGAGTCCATCTGTGTTCGTCCCAAACGTCACTGCTCCGAAAGTAAACTTGCTCTTCCACTTTCCGCCAAGTGATACTGAAACCACCAAAGAGGGAAAGTATGGGGAAACCAGATTCACGGTTGAACCACCCTTATTCGTCGGGATTTCAAAAATGGTTGTTTTAAGTTTGGTCTCCTTGAATTTAGCCGGATGTGTTTTGGACGGCTTGAGCAGTTCCGGAGTACTTGATGGCCCGGCCAGGTCGCATTGCTCCATACCATCCGCAAAAGAAAACTACTGTACTAACACAAGCGTACAAGCCATAAGGTGAAGTGACATTTGTTTATCGATTCTCTGGAGCTGTACATTTGAGTGTGTCTTCTTTTCCCGCCCAAAATGGCCAATCAGCGTTCCTTTTGATTTGCTTTTAGCGGACCTCACGGCCCGCCTCTCCCAACTAGGTCCTTTAGAACAAGGGACCCTTTTTCTGTAGTCTATTTCAGTAGGGGAGGCCTCCCCCAAAAAGGGGTGAAAAGGGCAATACTGGGGGACCTAGCCAAGGCCCAAGCGCCGGTTGTCGCGCCTTCGCTGGCGCCGCCAGGTATCGGGCCACCGCCTCGGTGCTCCGAGACGCCGCGCTCTTCGCCGGCGGCCGCTCCCCGCTTTGGCGCTGCTTCTCCAAGGTCCGCAGCCGCGCCTTGCGACGCGCGAACGAGGCGCCGAAAACGAGGCGACACCGGCTCGTTGGTTTTTTTCCCCCCCCCCTTTCTCTTGGGGGAATGGTAGGTATAAAAGTTGAGCAGCTGGATTCTCAGGTGTTAAAACCATGATGAAATGCTGGAAGGAGGGCACAAAACCAAACAGACTGTTCCACACTTGGACCTCAGTGTTCTATTTGCGTACTCTAGTTCTTGAAGCGGTGCCCTGCCTCTCGCGGATTCAGCGTGGAATCTTCCAAGGCAAGCCGCAAAGTACGCAAACACGTCTGGCAATGCTTTCACCCGCAAAGACAAACCCCACGCAGGCCGAGCTCGAAAACAATGTTCCAGCCCCCGGTGGCGGCCTCCTCTCCCAGGATGAACTCGGGAAGCTGAAATTCCAGGTGCTCCGTCATCGAGCCATCGGATGCCAGGTGCTTGACGCCTGCAACACAGAACCCACCTCCAAGCGCGCTGCTGGGTCTACCCATGTTTGTGTTTTGCGAACGCCTCAGGGGTAGAGCACCCAGGTGACTGGTCTCATGCTCTGCCGGCTTCAAGGAAAACATCCTTGACACGCATTCCAGCTGTTTCGATTTGACACTTTCCAAAGGGTCCGTTTTCCCTGTGCCGAGCAACGTTTTTGCAGCCCTTGTCCCAGAAGCATATTCCATCCCTGGGCTTTAGGGAGTCTTAAACTTTGCTATTCTTCCACTTGATGTTTTTTGGTGCGACTGGCCTAGGACACATTTCTTGGACAGCGCTTTTGCGGACTTGGCGCTATGCCCGGCTTCCATCAGTCGCGCGGCGATTGCGCAGCGGTGGTCCAGCCCTGTGGGCTTCGGCGACAAATCGGTATGGCGGGGAACCAAAACCTCTGGGTACTTTCCATGTCCAGGAAACATGGCCGTGGGTCAAAAACGTTTTGGTACCATTTTGGGGTAGGTGCGCCACCTATTTTAGTACCTATTTTAGTGGGGATTGGGATGCTCACCGGGGGTACGGGGTTTTGACCCATAGCCACATGAGGGGATCCATGCCAATGATGTCAGAAGGAAACATGGCCGGTCTTCGCTCTCACAGGCTTTTCCATTCTTTCCAGCATCCTTCTTTTCAGAAAACCTCCAGAAACCCAGGAAAATTGGCTGGCGCTCAACAAGAACCTGATAAGGGAAACCAACTCACCTGGGAGAACCCGTTGGCCAGAAGGGGGCAACGTTCTACCACTCGAATGGTCCAAACCCAAAAAAGTTTGACGTCAATGCCAAAAACTTGCTGGTTCGATGAATGAACAAATGGAATAACCCCCAAGGAAAACCATCCCCCATGTTTCCTTCAAGGGAATCAATGGAATCAAACGGAACCCGTTGGCCAGCCAAAAAAAACCGGTTCATTCCCAACACCCGGGCTCGCTCATTCCCCTATCGCAGCAAGTGAGAGAACACCCACGAGCCGCTCCCCAGTGGCTTCCAGTGGGTGGGGGGGGGGCCGGTGGATGGAAAATTACACATATGGAAGTTGACCATTCAAAAACCCTCCGACCGAGTGGGCACCACCAAGGCCTCCCAACTTTCCACAACGGAAGGTGGAGGCTGCTAGCACATGGGTGCTTCAGTTTCCTTTCGGCTCCCTCCAAAAGCGGAACGGTTCTTGAGAAACACCCACATCTGACAGGCCAAGTGGACAAATGGGCCACAATGCGCGAGGCTTGGCTTTATCAACATGCATGCGCAGACTTGCCTGGACGGAACATGACTGCAAGTTCTTCCATGCCGATAATGCCGAAACAAGCGTTTGCAGACTATAGAACACACCTGGAAGTCTCGGCACAGTTGTGTATGAGTCACAGTCTGTCGGATTCAACCGCCGTCAGCTGGTCGTGCACGACCAAATTAGCAATTTCAGCACTCATGGCTAGATTTGACTGCTCGTTGTTGGAGTTGACACTCTGTGGCACTGCTTTTTTTCTCTTGGGAAACTCAACAACTCGCGGCCCGCAAAACCGACCACCACTTGTGGCCTTGACAGAACCCACTGTCAAGCCCCTCGACCCCTGTCGGAAAGCCCACAGAGGCCCGTTGCAATCCAGCGGCTCCAGTCTTCTTCCGCACCTGGCGTTGGATTTGCGCCAGCATAGCCCAGCCTAGCCTCTGGCCTGGGTCTATCAGCCGAACATGGGGCTTGGCCCCCATCTTATTGGAAGAAACTCTGTTGGGGAAAAACAAAAAACGGGGGGGGCAACTGCTCCAAATCGAAGACAACACGTTTCCAACGCCATTGGCCCCAAGGCCCCAAGGCCCCAAGGTCCCAAGGTCCCAAGGTGCGACCTCAGCCCGCGACCTCAGCCCGCGCCTAGAAAGGCGGTCCGCTTCCGCCGAGCCCACCACACCAGCTCCGCCAGTAGGTTTCTGCCCTCGTCCTGCGGCGAAGGTTCTTCGCGGCGACTTTGCTTTTAGAAATCCGCCGACCCCATGCCTGGTCCAGAATGGACCATGCTTTCGGCATGGGGGCGGTGTGTTCTGTGTTGCTTTTGTTGATATGCTTTCTATAAGTTTAATAATGGGGAATATTATTTTTGTTATATAACATAAAAAAAATAATATTTATATATTATGTATATCAACCTATAGGTCCCTTTGGGCGGCCCTGGGGGCGGGATTCTACGCGGCTGGATTTACTGATTTCTGATTTCAGAATTTCTGGATTTCCCCCCCCCCCCCCCCCTCCCCCCCCCCTCCCCCCCCCGCTCCACCCCCCCCTCTCTCCCCCCCCCTCTCCTCCCCCCCCCCCCTCCCCCCCCCCTCCCCCCCTCCCCCCCCCCCTCCCCATCCCCCCCCCATCCCCCCCCCCCCCCCCCCCCCTCTCCACCCTCCCCCCCCCTCCTCCCCCCCCCCCATCCCCTCCCCACCTTCCCCTCCCCCCCACCTCCCCTCCCCCCCCTCTCCCCCCCCCCCCCGCCCCCCCCCTCCCCCCCCCCTTCCCCCAGTCGTAGTCTTCCGTAGTGTTCCGGCTTCTTCCCGTAGTCTTCCGTAGTCTTCCGGCTTCTTCCAGTAGTCTTCCGTAGTGTTCCGGCTTCTTCCCGTAGTCTTCCGTAGTCTTCCGGCTTTTTCCAGTAATCTTCCGTAATCTTTCGGCTTCTTCCAGTAGTCTTCCGTAGTCTTCCGGCTTCTTCCCGTAATCTTCCGTAATCTTTCGGCTTCTTCCAGTAGTCTTCCGTAGTCTTCCGGCTTCTTCCCGTAATCTTCCGTAGTCTTCCGTAGTCTTCCGGCTTCTTCCCGTAGTCTTCCGAAATCTTTCAAGCTTCTTCCCGTAAATTTCCGCAATCTTTCGGCTTCTTCCCGTAGTCTTCCGTAATCTTCCGGCTTCTTCTCCTAGTCTTCCGATACTGTTTCGGGACCAAACAACGCGCGTGTCCTGGGCTTTCGGGCTTCTTCCCTAGGCTTCGGGTAGTCTTCCCCCACCCCTCCGCCCCCCCCCTGTGTCTGTCTATGTCTGTCTACGTATCTGCATCTGTCTTCGTGTCCGCGAAGACCCCCCCTGCCCCTGCGTGTCTGTCTGTGTCTCTTTGTGTCTGTCTGGGTCTGTCTGCGTCTGTCTCCTTGCGTGTCTGTCTCTGTCTCTTTGTGCCTGTCTGTGTCTGTCTGTGTCTGTCTGTGTCTGTCTACGTATCTGCGTCTTTCTTCGTGTCCCTCCCCCCGCCCCCGCGTGTCTTTGTGTCTGTCTGGCTCTGTCTGCGTCTGCCTGCGCATCTGCGTCTGTCTTCGTGTCCGCGAAGACCCTCCCCCCCCGCTGCGTGTCTGTCTGCGTGTCTTTGTGTCTGTCTGTGTCTGTCTACATATCCCGGGCCGAAATTCTAAGGTGTGTGGGGGCGGCGGAACCAGGCCGCAGGCCATTAAATAAATGTTGAGCGCGGTCTGCGCGAATGACCGCCATTGGCCATGGATGCTTCATTGGCTATGCCATGAGCATCACCTGAACGTTTCATGTGCGGCTTCTGAATTTGAATGGAAACACTCAGCTCGGACATGGCGGAGATAGTGTTGACCCCATATTAATCAACCATCCAGTTCATTCATAGGTGGTGAGGGCCCCTTCAAAAGTGGTCTGATTCCCCACATTTCACCCAGGGACACCCCCCTATTAATCAACTGGGTTGATTAATATGGGGTCAACATTGGCCGGGAAGATCTGAGGTAGAACCTTTGTCATACCACCTTGTCGACAACCAAGCGGAGGTCATACGTAGTTTTACAGCAACCAAGGAGCCACAAACAATTCCAATCCAGATGGTTTGCGAATGAGTGCGATGTGGCAATTCCAATCCGAAAGCGCGTCAGGGTCAGCAAGTTACACTTTATTCCCTTTCCAGGCGCTGCCTAGGACCTGTGCCGGATCATTGCCATGCTTTTGACGCAGGTGTTGCGAAGCGGCATGGAATTCTCAGCATGTTGGCTGTCATCCGAGCTTGGTGTTTCACCCTGCGTGGCTTCATTCGATAAATGGACAACTTGTTATTCCGCAGGATGACTCTCAAGCAACCCCCCCTCCCAAAAAAAACAGAAAGAAAGAAACAGGAAAGCAACTTGGCAGGCGGGGGTGGCTTGATAGAGGGCACAGTTTGTATCAGGCAACGCTTGTCCTCCCGCAAGTGCTTCAGAATTCCATAGGCGACGTCACGGCCGAGCGGCGCAAAGCGGTAGTGTATGGCATGCCCTGGGACGGAGTGGAAGACCCTCCCTTTGAGACAAGTAACTTTATGTCCTCCAGTAGAGAGGTTGGAAAAAGGGCACTCTTTTTTTCCGTAGTCTATTTTAGTAGGGGAACCCTCCCAACCAAAAAAAGGGTGAGAAAGGGCACTACTGAAAACCAGGAACTCACCTCCCCAAACCTGGACCTTTGGACAAAGCTTCACCTGTTGGGCCTTGACTGTTAGGGTCAAGGGCCTGGCTTGCTCTCCAAAAACCAAAACGTCTAACCTCAGAAGAAAAATGGAACGGCCATCTGCTTCCGAACGATCGGTTTTCACCGCTTTTGGGCCTGAAAGAGGTCACAAAGACCTCTTTGACCCTTGCCACCATGTTCTGCCTTGGGTGCTCCAGCAACAAGTTTAACTGTTGCTGGTTAAAAGGAAATATGCAGGGAATCCAACAAGTTAAAGTCGAAAGATCCAACCCAATAGCGGTAGAGTTGCATTCTCCATTTTCCACCATGTTACTTGGGTTAAACAAACAAAAACTACTGCTTTTTGGTTGCCGTACCGGCTTGGGATTTTGATGGGAGAATCTGTGATTTTCATCCGGGAAAAACATATGTCCAGTGATCGGTTCCCTTTTTAAAAAATAAAACCGACAGGGGGAATTCCGAAATACAAGCAGGTTCCATTCCGGTGTTTCGGTGCACCACCGATTTTCGAACCTATTTTAGTGGGGATTGGGATGTTTACTGGGGGTACGGGGGTTTGACCCACGGCCATGTTGGGAGCTGGGAGTTGGCTTATCTCAAGCGAAGGCTCGCTTGCAGGCTCCCTCCAGGTGGCTGGGCTTCAGATGCGGGGCGGCCAGCTCAGCGCTGGCTCCTGCACGAAGCCACTTCGCTCGCTTCTGGGCCATCTGGGCACACGAAACATCCACCATGTTCAGCTTCTGTAATTATCTAGTCCGTTCAAAAACATATGTTGGAGGAGACGGATTTGACGATCACACTCCAATGAACCTCTTTTTTGTGGAAAAGTCGGCCACTGGCAAACAAATATGAAACATCAGCCGGTCCTGTTATTTAAGGCGACATGTGACATGGAGGAGACAATTAAGGTAAAGCCACATGGGCTTGGGACAGGGGGAAAAAGGGCTGGCATTGTGCTGCACCAGCATGTGGCCAAAAACGCTTGGGGCTTCCATCGTGCTTCTCGGCATGGGGGGTCCAGCATGTTTTGCGGGCCCATCTTGGTTTGCGACTTTCCCTTCAGCACAATCTTGATCACCAGCATGCAACATGTCGGCCAACATGATCACAGAGGTGAGACTCCTGCAAAGAATGGGGGGTGACGGTGGGAGTGCGCCGATTTGTCCAAAATGTTTCGTCCTGTTCAACCCCAGTTTGCTTAACCTGTAGCTCGCTTTCACATCTGGCCGAGGTGCTGAAGTCGTAGAGGACATGAATCGAATGAAGCGAGAGCAGTTCAAAGAACGAGCGCTCGCTCAGCGATCCGCATCCCAAAGAGTAGGTGATGGAGGGCTCCTGCCTTGGGTCCCACTCCGTATCAAGAGGAGTGCTGCCAAAGCCCAAGGAGCGCACGACAAATCGATTGAGCGTCAGAGGCCAAGTGTGGGAAACAAGACCCAAAGAAACCATGAAGTATTTGCTTGGTACCGGAAGGAGTTCACACCTGCTCGTGGGGAAATGCATCTTGACCTTGCATTCTTTCTGGGGGACCCGTTGATATCAACACATCCTGCGCCAAACGATGTCCCAAGCGCTCAGGCTTTTGGCAACCTCCTTGCCCAGCCTCCCGCCATCCCCCAAAAGCCACATTCCCAGCAGGGTAGGTCTTTGACCTGCTGCAAAAAGCGAAGCTGCAGCTTAGTTGGACCACCGCGTTGATTCTTAAAAGGCTCAACGGTAAGCCCGGTGAAAAAACACCACAGCGCAACATTCGCAGAAACACTGAGTCCATTCAAACATTGCCTTGCAAAAGTAACTTTGAGAACCCCTCAACAACGTGACCTCAGGAAACAAACATGGGGATCCGAAAAGCGGCTTTGGGAAAGTGAGCTTGGAGCCTGGGAGCCTGGGTCTGCGGTTTTGACAGCGGCAACTTGTCAAACATCCGTGATACAGCGGCAACTTTTAGAACCTTGACTCATGGAACAAATGTGGAGAACCAACAGGTACAATGCCCGGCTTGGGGAAAGAGAGTTCACTTGCTGGTTTTCAATGAGTTGGAATGACCCCTGTAAACCATCTGTCAAGAGACGGCAAGGTGACGTCCCGTGGGACGCTGTCCACCGAACCCTCCAGCTGTAATACCAACCACGTAGAAAGGTGTATACGGTCAAACCGTTATAGCCGAACCCGTGCAAATGTTGTAAGGGAGAAGGAATAATAGTTACAACAGTGGTCCTGACAAATGCAGCGCAAGCGAAGTGTTTTCCGCTCTCAATTGCCGATCACGTATGAACGCAGCTACACATAAGATCTTGAACCTCACTTGTGTCTTGAGCCAAATGGCAATCAATGGAACCTTGGTAAGCAACACAAACACGGACCTCAGAACTGCTTCCCAATTTAGGCACGGGGCCTAGGAGGGTTTTAACATCCCCCATTTGGGTCGCATCGTTCATCATGCGGTCCAAACACCACAAAACGTTCCACTGGCCACGGCTTCAGCTACGAAACTGTGTCGAACACTCTTTCACTCGCTATCGCTACACCGTTCATTCATTGTGAAACCTGCCGGGTTCGATTGAAAAAATGAAACATGCATCCGCAAATCGTAGCACATTCCCATATGCAGGTGTAATGTATACACTATCGTCACGTCATTTGACAACCATTGAACATCCCAGCTGCCGCATTTGCGCATCGCGCAGCCGTCATCCACAGAAATGGGTTGGCCATAGAAGTTCAACAGAAGCGCCTGCTCGTAAGCAATCTGCATATCACCGGCAAAGAAATATCGGTGAGCAATCAATGCAAAACATAGCCATTCCAGGTACCATGAATAATATATAATGAAAAGGAAATCATCCATGAGGTAATAGTTCCATCCATGAATATCCGGAATGTCATAGTCGTCGGAATATGCAAACGTATACACATCCATTCATCTTGGACGCATGAAATCATATCATGATGAAGAGTCGTTCCATCGCAATAACATTGATGAGACGCAAGCAACAGACGGGGACTAGCCCACATCGTGCCGCAATCAACATCTGCATTACGCATACCTGTCCCCAATGGACAGTCTGTGAGTACGTCGACGGAACTCTTCGTCCAAATTCTTTTGGGCTTCTCGTGCCCGGACACACTTCTTGTGATGATCTTCTGGTATCCAGTGCCCCATTCGGAGGCACCAATCCAGCAGAGGTGTGTCACATTTATTCGGGTCAGTGGCCGCAATAATGGCGCTCACATTTACCGAATAACCATATTTGCCAAGGTTCAAGCCATCCCTTACGAACGATATATACTTACAGTTGAAAGCCAGGGAAAAGCATCTGTAAATAATATCACCCACCGGGTGCACGCGATCCTTGACCAGGAGCTTCATTTCGTCCTTGGTGACGTCGAGGATTCTTGCTGCAATCCACAGCTTGTAGAATATGTATAGCCCCTCGCACTTGTATACCATTAGACGAATGTATTCATTACGCTCCTCAGCCGACCGGAAGACCCTTGTTCGAACATTCTGAGATTGAGAAATCTTCGTCACCGTCGATGGCAAAAGGATTCCTTCCTGATCGTGTTCAGTCATGTTGGGGTACTTCATGAAGTCGTTGTGGTATGGACAGCCTGGCTTCCCTTCGAGCGCGGCATCCATCGTTCTCTTTTCACCACCTTCGAACATCCCCCACATCTTTGACATCTGCAGTGCGATGAATCCAGCCATGTATTGAGCTTCGCGCGGCTCGTCAAGGCAAATCGCCATCCGCTGGGTATTTATAATATCCCGTGATGCCAAGTCACTGTCGCGGTATTGCCAACCGCCATCTTCCTCCTCAGACATGTAGCCGGACGTGTATCCTTGCGTGTCCATGTCGTCTTCTTCAGGAACGTCCTCCGCATCATCATCCTCTTCCTGTGCCGCCGCATCAAGGTTGGCTTCGTCTTGTGCGCGCCTGGCATCACCCGAGACATTGGGCCTTTGATTGTCCTCATCGTCGTCGGAACTGATGTGGATGTAGAATCTTCCGGTGGAGATCAGTTGTGCTCCACACTCCAGGCACACACAGAAGCATGTAGGAATCGCGGTCGCACATGACGGACATATCCGGCACCTCAGTCCTTCCCATGTCTCGTCATTCAGGATGATGACTTTGCTGATCTCATCCCTGACCTCGTTGGTCTGTGCATCAAACTCCTCCAGCTTGTTTTCCCGATAAAGTTCGCATGCACGATCAACCATGTCTTTGATGTAGTGCAGATTGTCGGCACCTGCCTCGGTCTCAGGCATCCTCTCGTTGATCTTCGCGACGTTCTGGAGGAACATCGCAGCCGATTCCTGGGATGAGTTGACGAAACCCGGACAGATCTCGTTCTCCACACATTTTGAGTACGCCCGCTTGGTGTCCCCGTACTCCAGGCGTTTCCCTCCGTTGCTCTTGCCAATCCAAATGGACTTGACCTCATAGAACGGGATCACGTCAAAGACCATGAATGTCCCATTTGCCGCGACTCCAGCTCCATACCGCGCGAGGGTTGCACTGGGAATGTAGATGATCGCAATCGGATCCCCCGACCTTACGTTTCGTAGCGTCACTTCGTTGCTACGTTCATCTCATCCCATGGAGCAAATGCTCCGAAGTGCAGTGCTAGCCTGTTTCCGCCATCGATCCCGCCGGGGACTAGCCCACAGCGTACGATGCTTGGCAGGTTCTCCACATACGTCACATGGAATGCTCCTCCGAGAGAATCACCCATTCTTGCGGAATACCTATTTGCCAGTGCGGATGAGCTCATGAATCCAAAATCACTGTGACCAGTTGTGACTCGGATGCACCAAGGCCTGTACCATCCATCGCATCTGTTGAACATCCTGTCGATGTCATCCCGATCCAGGCCAGCATTGTTCATCTCCTCCCTGGCCGCCCTCGTGTCATTCGGGTTCATGATGCTTGGAAACCTTGCTGCTAGGACCTGAAATCTCGATTTCTTATGTCCAGATTCCTGCCACTTGATCACCTCCATGATGCCCATGTATCGTTTTGCTCTCGAAGTTGTAGGTGGGAATATGTCGTTGTTCCGGTCGTCAATGACTGCGTCTATGTCGACCCATCCACCTTCATCGCATCTGAAAACACTTCCTCGGCAATTGCCGATTTTGTGCCGAAGGACTCTGCATAGGTTGTGAGATAGCTGGTTTGCTTGGTCTTTCGTAGCAAATACTGAGCGATCATCACCGATCTTGCATAGTGGAGCACCGTCAAAAGGAGCAACGCAGAAATTGACGCTCTTGCCAAGCTGCATCACATCCACCTGCTCAAGGTTGGCACCCTTGGGAAAGTACTTGGGGTCAACAATAGATGCGTACGCCCATGGCATATGCACGTCACTCACGTCGCCGTACTTCGGGATGTAGCATGGAATGGTGTCACATCCTCGCTCTAGCGTCGTCTTGAACGTTCTGTTGTCCCCGCACGGATTGTGGGTGAGGTCTACGCCACCGCATTGTAGCTCTCCTCCCTCAGCCGTGTCAGCCATCTCCACCAGGTTGATGGTATAGCTATACATCTCAATTGTTTCTTTCCCTGCTTGTCCTCCTTTCTTGCGTTCCTTGGATGTTGATGAGGATGGCTCCTCCGTATCCCCCATTTCTTCATCCGAGGAAACATGGTCGCTGCTGAGAAGTTCACGGATCTTCTTCATCGCCTTCTCATTTCCGGCAGCCTCTTCATAGTTCTTGCAGTCGCCGTCGTGGGCCAGGTTCGCGCATCTCATGCAAATTCCCATCTCTCCCATGCACTTTTCCATTGAGTCCAGGAATCCGAGTGCCGCTCTTCGCCCATCAATCACTCGCTGCTTCTTCTCCTCTTTCTCAGCGTTGGGCTGAGAGCTTCGGCTCGGGTCTGGTACTTGACCAAGACCGTCACCTTCGCCCTCTGTTGCCTTCCTCTTGGATCCTTGGGTGGCAGGCTCGGTCGTCAGGGATCGCGGATGTCTGGGCTTGATCTTGTTAATGATGTCCAGCACTTCTTTCGTGGGCGCCCCGAGCTGGGCGGATGGTTTGTTCCGCTTTCGGTTCTCACCCGTCGTGTGGCTCACGTTCCCGGCGAGGTGTCGTACGATTGAATGCTCGAACTCCCTCTTGATCTTCCATATATCTTTCCACAGCGGAAGTTCGTGCTGAAAGTACGACATCACCTCAAAGAATCCCAATATCATCTCGACGACGTCCCCCAAGGACTCCTCATTCGAAGTCTGTCCCAGGAGGTCATACATCGCCCCCTGATCGAGCACGCTCTTGATCCAGTATGAATAGGCCACGTTGCCAAGATCCTTGTCTATCACAAAGATGGAGGT